TTTTAAAGTATAAATATGTCATTCTTTTTTTGACAATTAAATGTCATAATTAAATTATTTTTTATCAACTTTACATATGTTTTTATAATTTTAAATATTTTTTATTTAATTTATAATTTTATTTTATATTTAAATTTATTATATATATATATTTTTCACTGCAGAAACATTAAATGTTGAACTCTTTTCCTACCCATCATGTTCAAAATTCAAATTTAAATAGTTTGAATTTTTATTTTATTTTTTTGGTAGTCTGTAAGGCTAGAGACAGCCCCACAGAAACTAAATTAAATTAACTTTGCGAAAAGAACAAACATGAGAAAAGTCTGCTAGATACAGCAACCAAATACCAGGGGGGAGAATGGAAAACACAGATTATTTTTCATTGGGTGATCCAGTGGAAATTTAGATAACCAATCTGCGCAACCATTGCTCTCTCTGTAGGTATGAGTAAGATGAACCTCCCAATCTTTCGCTAACCATTCTCGAATGCGAGTCACTAATCGCGGCTCTCAAGCTGCTCCTCCATCTTTGGTGAGCAAAGTGATAACAGATTTTGAATCACTTTCTAAAATAATATTCCTCCAACCTCCTTCTCAAGCCAGTTCTAAACCTTTAAGAATGCCCCAAAGTTCAGCTGTAAATGCTGAACATTGACCAATATGGTATGCAAATTCATGAAGTCAATTACCTGATGCATCCCTAAGCACTCCACCACAAGTGGCTCCACCATATGGTCTCCTAGATGCCCCATCCGTGTTGATTTTTATCCAACCCACGTCTGAAGGATTCCAACCAACCAAAATGAATGTAAGAGCCCTTGTAGTCTTGAAGCCTTGTTTCATTTTCCAGCAATCAGGGAATTCCCAAACCTTAAGCTTAATTGTTTGGGCTTTGTAGGCATGCTCATCTGTCTTATTACCGTGAACAATTAAATTTCTTCAAGTCCAAGCCATCCACACTGCCACTGCAAAAATTAAGGCCCATGGAGCATTGAATCTCACGTAGGATTCTTTTTTCAAATTTTCCAGCAACCATCTATCAAGATCATGGTTAAAAAATTCAGGAATCAGATTTGAGTTCACCAGATCCAACCATACCTTCTTCATGTTGCTGCAATCTCTAACCATGTGAAGGATAGTTTCATCTTCCACATTGCATAAAGGGCACGTAGTAAGAAATATTAAATATTTAAAATAGTTTGAATTTTAAATAATAAATATTTTTGCACCCAATAGACATAATAATAAAAACTATTAATAGGTTTAACAATTTTCCACACAGAAAATAGTAGGAAAGATTATAATGGTCTGTAAAATACTTAATGGCTAACATCTTTTTATGATGCAAGAGTTGGATGATCACTGAATAATCATTCATTTTTATAATTTGTTTTTTACAGAATGATAAATGTCTTTTACTTAATAAATTTTGAGTTAAATTCTTTTGTATTTTTTTATACATAATTCTTTTGTATTATTATACATCTTTTTTGAAAAATTAATTTTTTTTATCTTTTATTATATAATTTTTATATTGGTTATATATATATATATATATATATATATATATATATATATATATATATATATAAAATGTTTATGTTAAAAAATTTAATAAAAAATACTTGTAGAAATTATTTTAAGGAGCATGAACGATTTTCTAATATGGACGGGAAAAATTTATTAAGGATAACCTCTGGTAGTTTTCTTAAAAGAATAATGATGCCATGCATGTTTAATATTTTTCTAGTAAATAATGCAATTGAGTTTACCAAAATAAAATAATGCAACTAAAACTCAAACCTGCAAGTTACTACATATATAATATAAATCCTTCTATTAACCCACTTCCAATTCCTTATATATTTTTTCAACACAATTCACAATCCTATCAAGCTAAAAAGTAATACATTACCCAAGTTTAGAGTTGTCTCTTCGGGTAGAGTGATTATGAATGTAAATATAGCACCATATTTCAGGCGATTATATATAGGGTGCTCATAGATTTTTACCTTATTGTGTTTTTCAAAATTAGTTCTTTTCAAAAATCACACTTTATAATAAAATAATAATAAAATAAATATTATTATTGTATAAATGTGTTATAAAGAATATGTATGTCCCTCACCAAAAAAAAAAGAATATGTATGTCTCTAAGTCATTGTATAGCGCATTTTACTATAAATACTTTGGGTTCGCTTTTTCTGCAGTTACTGCAGATAAGTTATCTGCAGTAAGTCCAATATGACGTCATTTTAGGGCGGAAATCATAGTGTTGTTATAATTTTAATTTATTTCAGGGTTATTATAGTCTTTATAATTATAATTTTTTAATCTTTTAATCCCAAAATGACATCATTTTGGGAATAAACGCATATAACTTATCTGCAGTAATTGCAAAAATAATTTTCTGAAATACTTTTTAGGGTTTAAAAAGTCAAAAATTAAAATTCCAAATGACACAAAAGGTCATCATTAATATAATTAAAAAAAATTAATAAGAAAATAAAAGAATATATAATAATATATCCTTTTGGTTATTACAAAGCCACAATTGCATGGTGCATATACAAATAAAAGAAAAAAAGTGGGAATCTGTAAAATCAAAAAATTTATTAACATATAAAATTATCATATTAATATTATATTATTAACATTTTATTAATATTTAACGTGACATGCATTTAAAAAATATGAAAATAAGATCATCTAATTATATTTTTATTGAGGTTCAATTTTTATAAAATTTGACACAAACAATCAAATAATAAATAATAATAATTCAACGATTAAATTGATAAAAATCATATTTATCATAAGAAGCCCCTACATGAGTAATAGAGAAGTCCTTATAAGTAAGCAATTATTTAAAAAAATAAATGAAGCACGAAGATCTCTATAAAATTGTATAATTTTACAATGATATATTACATCAGGTATATTATATATCAGGATCTAAATGAAAGGAAAATTGAGAAAAAATGGTTTTAGAAAGCATATACAAATCAAGTGGCTCCTATGCAGTGAGTCAGACATCCGCTAATGATCATATTTTATGTCATATTTTTCTGCAGCAAGAGGATTAGGATGCACTTGACGCAAAAATTGTCCTTTTACTCTTGGACGTTGTTCGGCTAGTTTCTTTCTGCTCTCATATCGATCCATGCTTTGAGAGATGATTGACAACCTTTCCAATCTCAGTTGTTTGACAAAGTAAAATTTTGAGAATCAGATTCTGCTCAAGCTATTGGCCTTCTTACCACGACTGGTAATGATACTCGAAAGCTACCTTTGGTAGCTAAGATTCGAGTTGCTCTCAATAAGGATTGGTCTGTCTTGTTGAAGCATGTTTCAAGGACTTGCAACTACTGTGCTGATTGGATTGCGAAGAAAGCAATGGATGATCCTTTTGGTCTCACCACAATCTCATCCCCACATAGTGAGCTCATCAATTTACTTGCTGTTGACATGCTAGATCCAGGACTTGTCATGCCTGCTGCTAGTTGTTGCTAAAGACCTTTACTTGGTCTTTGGTCTTTAGTTCCTTTCTGTTTTGTTTATTTTGTTGTATCTGTTTTGTTTTCTTTACTGTTGTTTTGCTTCGTGGGGGCTATGCCCCATGTAATCACCAAAAAAAAAAAAAAAAATTGAGAATTAAATGATTTACAAAAAAGGCAATAGAAAAAATAACCAATAAAATTTTTAGAAAATTGACCACAAACCTGAATTGAATCCAATTCAACTTTGGGCAAACCATTCTCAACTCCCTTTGTATAATCTCTAAGTTTTAGTACCTTTATTTGCATAATATATTTAGTATGTACTAAATACTAAATTCATTTTTTATTTCAAAAATTTATTTTTTAAAGCTTCTAACAATTAATAGGATTAACAATTACTCATGCAAAAAGTAGTGGAAATAATTAATAGGCTTAACAATTACCCATGCAGAAAGTAGTGGAAACAATTAATAGGCTTAACAATTTCAATGTAGAAAGTAGTGAGACGTTAATACAACTATCTGTATGCCACTAACAAATTTTAAAAAATAATGATAATTCAAATTTGAATTGTTTCTAAAAGTGAAAAAAAATTAAGTTGTTTGTAGTGTGAACACAAAGTGAAAAATGCATGAAAAATTGACACATCATCAAATTTATCAACAAATGGTTTTGCTCTAAAATAGATATAGATTTACATAATATATTACGCATCTAAACTCTCAATCCATCAGTCCACAAAAGACTCAAAGAAGTTGATGATCACACCTCCCAAAATAATAAGATTTAAAACGAGAAACATTTTTATACTTAAAAAAAGCGAAAAACATTTTTTCCAATAAAATAACTAAGAGATCATAAATTATAATAGTTATTTACGTAATATATTATGCATCGAAACTCTAGTATGTCAATTCACAGCAAAGATTCAAAGGAGTTGATGGTCACACCTTTCAAAATAATAAAATTTAAATTAAAAAATATTTTTCTAATAAAATAATACAAAAATCATAAATTATAATAACTTCCAAATGTTAATATTTTTTTAAAATATTTTTTTTAATATTTCATTTGTATGGAACGCTCGATCCATCAATTCACCACGAAAATTCAAAGGAATTGATGAGCAAAACCCAAAAAAGTAAAATAAAACGCATTATCCAGCAAACCGGACGGGAAGATTCAGAATCACACCTCCCAAAAGCCTGAAAAGTAATTAGATCAAACGGCCGGGATTGATCTACATCCATTTACAACAAAATATTCAGAAACTAAAAAGAAAAAACCCACCCCTCGCTCTCAAAGTCTCACTTGTGATGCTCCTCCGCACACTCGACACGTTTCCTATACATCCAATAAACAGTTACTTTTATTTATTTTTATTTAATTTAATTAATTATAATTTTAAATTTTCACTCTTGTTTGGGTCCCACTCGTCTGTTGCGTGGACCCTACTCTTCTCCCTCGAATCCTTAACTTGCTCTGCTTTTAGTTTCATTTCTGAAACAAACACTCAGAGAAGAGAAGAGAGTTTGTATATAAAATCTCAGAGGTAATTTTCACTGTAACTCCTCTTCCTCTTTCTCTCTCTCTATAACTAGGTTCTCTTCTCGCTCTTTCTCTCTTTACATCTCTCTGTTCTTCTCTTCTTTTTTTCTAGCGTTCTCTCTTCCATTTTCCCACGCTTTCTCTGTGTTCTGTGATTCTAGTTTCGACTCGGTTTGATTTTAATTCTTCTTCTTCTTCTTTTCTTTTTTTTGTGCAGGGGGGGATTTTTTTTAGGAGGATCTGATGTACTCGCTTGTGGATCTCGACTATATTCACGATCATGATGGCCCTTGAAGATTCAGGTTCGTCTTCGACTGTTCCAATTGGCTTTTCTTTCTTTCTTTTGATTCTGTAATTGTTTAATTTAAATCAGTTTTGGTTCTGATTAATGGAATTTTTATTCGTTTAATTCGGTTTTAGTTTTTTATCGTGTGTGTGTTTTATTTTTTGTTTGATTACGCGTGCATCTGTTTGCGCATCTTTTTTTTTTTTTTTGGGAAATTTTTGCTGCTGAGAGTCCTGGGTCAGTGTCTGCTTGCTTCGTGTTGGTTCAATTGTGGTTTGATCGCGGGTTTCGTGTGGTTGGGAGCAATGTGTGTGAGAATTGGGTTCGGGTCTGAATGTAGTGGCTGAACTGGGAGGAATGCTGGATTTTGCATTTTTGCGGCTTGATTTGCTTTTTTTACATGGTGAATTTACTGGTCCAGCTACAATGGGAGAGCTTTCCCTCTCTGTTTTAAAGTTAAAGTTCAGTTTGTGCTACCTCAAGAAGTTAGAGGTCTAGCATTTTTCATAGGAACCACTTACTAATGGAATGATAAAAAGTGTGCTGGTTTAAATTCAGTACATAAATCTTGTTTGATTCGGGTAAAATATATGTGCTTGGAGCCTTGGACAATAATTTATATGAGAATAATTTAGTTGGCAGTCTAATATTCGTTAACTTGTGTTCATTTTATCTTATTTTGATTTGCGTTACCCCTTGGATAATTCAGTAAGACTGTAAGAGTATCAAAGTATGCTGTCTGTATGGAAGAATGATGAGAGACATCTTTTTTTCCTCCTTGATTGTGCATTTTAAGCATTTGAAAACTAAATGATTTGTCATTTATCGTCTTTCATGAGTAGCTGATATATAATTTCATTTTTGTCTGCAATCCATTCCTTATGGGGAAAACTGAATATTTTAGCATCTTCTTTGTGCAAAGTGCAAACAGTTTTTTTTAGTCTCTGATTGTGTAGATATATTATTTTGCATTATTTATACTGGGGCTCATTGTGCAGAAAATATGCAAATAAACTGTGAGGCATCTCTAAAATGCCTCCAGGGTAAGGGATTCCCTTGTCATTTTCAGTGTAACGGGAGTTCTGTGGAAGGCCTTACCGAGCTTAAAAATGATTCTGGTACTCATCCAGCTGGGAATGTTGCTGAACCTAACCGCCATTTAGGCAGTGAGTTTCTTCAGCCTTCCAATGAATTTCGTGGTAAACCTACTTATTACCATGATTACCGCACCTGGACAGCCTGCCATTTTAACGCTCACAAGGTGCAGCAATGCCAAATGAATGCTTTTGAGAGCCATTTTTACCCTTATCCTGTCCAGAACCAACTTCAATATGTTCCAATTAATATGGTTGCTCAGGCTTACCCATGTGAGCGATATCAAGAATTTCAGTATTTTGTGGTGATAGACTTTGAGGCTACCTGCGACAAGGATAAAAATCCCCACCCTCAAGAAATAATTGAGTTTCCATCTGTCATAGTGAGTAGTGTCACTGGCCAGCTTGAAGCATGTTTCCAAACATATGTCAGGCCTACCTGCAATCAGCATCTGAGTGATTTCTGCAAGGATCTGACTGGTATCCAGCAAATTCAGGTGTGTTAAGAAAAATACAAAAAGACTAGGACAAACCATTATATGCTTTTCTTTTTTGATTTTTATAACTCCTAATTTCTCCTTATTATTGAACAAACAATCACATTGCTATCTGCATATCAAATATTCTGATTTATGTGATATTTTTGAATGGTAACTCCCTTGGCACAAGTGAAAGAAATTTCTGTATGCCCCCGCCCATCTCATTGACCAGAAATATGTGGTTGAGAGTGTTAGTAAAACAGCAAGTTTTTCATGGAGGTGAAGTTAATTCATGATTTCTATAGAATTAGAAGAAGGTTTGAGATTAAACTTTGTCTAGTCAGTCCACACCGGTAGCTATTTAAACTGTTTACAGTACTAATTACAAGATGAATCATTTCCTAGATTAGAGCCAACCTGCACTAATTACCTAATTATACCTGTGCTTAAATCTCATATGACTCGTTATACATTGCTTAATTCTAACATTGAATTCCAAGACTCCCTTTAGCTGTGCATATGTCATGAACACCAAGCGTTTAAGGAATAATAAAGCCAACCCAAGGTCATCTAAGGGTCTTAGTGAATAAATCAGCTAAGTGATCGTTGGAGTTGACAGAACCAGTAGTGATCTCGCTTGAAAGAACCTTTTTTTTGTCAAAATGGCAGACAACCTGTATGTATTTGGTTCTTTCATGAAAGATTGGGTTAAAGCAATATGTAATGCAGCTTGGTTGTCACATATTAGTTTCGTTTCCTTAACTCAGTATAGACTCATCAACAACCAACAGTAATTTTTCCAGGAGGTGAGGGTAGGGGGTCAATTTCCTATGTACCACTAGAGTGTAAAGCTGCCATTTTGTCAATCATAACCTGTTGTGATATGAGATCAGATAGGGCTTCACCTGTAGCTAGGGTATAGACAGAGTAGCCAAAGAGGACGTCTAGGCATAATAGGAAGGAGATAAATGATGATAATTCAAATGAAACACATAAAGAGGATTAGGGTTGTGACTTGTGAGAATACTCGATGACCTTTTTTTAACACTATGGGCAATTCCAATGAAGGAGGTGGAGCAGGAGAGTCCAGTGGAGTGTGAGATGAAGAAAAATGGACCAGAGGGGTCTGGGTATACCAGTATAGTGTTTTTTTTTTTTCTTTTTTTATGTGGCTATTTTTGGAAAAAATAAAGCGGGGTGAAAAGGTGGATGACGGGGGGTGCATGGCAACATGAGGGACAAGATTTGTAAAGTAGCTCACATGCATGGTGTGTGGACAAGATGCGAAGAGTAGAAGGGGTCACAGTGTTGATGTGTGAGATGGAAGACAGTGGTGGGTTGGTCCACCATGGCTGAGCTGGTCAGGGAACTCTGCTGCCAATTGAAGATTTTTGGCTGTGATTGCAGCTTGTAGCTAGAGGTTGGTGCAGCTGAGAGTGGTTGAAGAAGCAGCACTGATTAGGGTTTAGTGGGATGGATCGAGCCACGAGGGTGACTCCTAATACCATACATAATAAGAAGGCCTTTCTTCTTATTCTGTATGGTCGAAGAAGCAGCAGCACCGGTTAGGGCTCTGTGGGATGGATCGAGCCACAGAGGGTGACTCCTTTTAATACCATACAGGATAAAAAAGTCTGTGTGTCTAATCCGTCAACACAGTTAAATATTTATACTATACAGTATTTATTACAAGAGGAATCATTTCCTACATTAGAGCTAAACAGAAACAATTACCAAAGAGTAAATGACAGCTAATATTACTTACTACATATGTGGTTAAATCCAACATTTAATTCCAACCTTTATTTTATTTTATTGTTCTTTTGAATTATTTATTGTTATGTTCTAATGTTAAGGGGACGAACCGGAGCAGTGGTAAAACTGTTTCTTCATGACTGAAAGGTCATGGGTTCGAATACAGGAAACAACCTCTTTACAATTATGCAAGGGTAAGGCTGCGTACAAGGATTTTCTCCACTCCACACTCGCTAGTCGAGTTTAACAGGGAGTGGTTTTTTATGTTATAATGTTATTTATAGTTCCTTCAATTCTATTTTTATTTTTTTTCCTCAATTTCTTCATACTTTTCATTTTGGTTCATCTGTCACCGACCCGAACTAATTTGGGATAAAGATGATGTTGATATTGACAGTATAACTAACTACGTGATAAATCATTTCTTATATTAGAGCTAACCTACACTAACATTTAATTCTAACAATTTGAATTCTGGGTCTTCCTCTTTTGATCGAATTTTGATAAATTCACCCTGGCCTGAGCTGTATTTCCTCCATGATAGGGGATGACATATACTATATATATATATACTATACAATACAGAACTGAACTATGATGGACTCTGCGATTATGATTTAGTCAGAATATTGTGTATAATATTTTGTTTTAGCATATAGAATTTCTATTTCTTATGCTGTGTGTCAAGTGTTAACTAGTTGAAATCTAACATTCTCCTAACTCTTCGCATTTTATGCAGTAGCAAGAAAATTGAAGAGATTATATTGAAAATGGAGAAGATGTTGATAACAAATATGTTGGACCAAAATTCATATTTAGTGATTCAATAGATGGAGAAATGAAGAGATCTTCAGTTGATAAATACTCTTCACTCCCTCCCTTTTAGTTACTGGGTTTTGGTGAAGTATAGTGATGTATTGCTTCTCATACAATTTGCATCCCTGAATCTTCAGCCGCCACCATGTGTGTGCGTGTCTGTCTTGTCTGATGGGATGATTCATATCCATTTCGAGGTCGACCCAGTTAAGTCATGTGTATAAATTAAGAAGCTCTACTTATATATGGGCTAAATAGATGCTGTATCCTTACATTATGCACTTGAACTATGTAAAAAAGTTGATACTCTTGTCTCACTTCCGTTTAGTCACTAGGTTTCGCTCAAGTATTGTGCTGTATTGCTGCTTTCACACAATTTTGCATCCCTGCATTCTTAGTCGCCACAATGTGTGAGCGTGTGTCCTGTCTGATGGGATGATTAATATCCATTTTGAGATTGACCCAGTTAATTCATGTGTTTAAATGAAGAAGCTCTACTTAATTACAGGCTAAATAGATGTTTTATCCTTACATTATGCTTTTTTTTTTTTGGTACATTGTCAGGAGGTATCCCCATTCAACCTTCTCCGGGCACCATGCCCTCGGGGTACGGCCCGTTTGGGCTAGCCCCTCATTGTAACAGTGGGTGCACTAAGCTTCGCAACCGGAGAAAGGACGAGACTAATCCCCCAACCGAAGATTTTTGGTTTATCCTCTGGCCCCCAAAGATTTTCCAAAAAACTGCTTGAGGCAGGGTTTGATCCCTGCACCAAGCAATCCCTTGGGAGCTCAGCTGCCAACTGAGCTACCCTTGGGGGTTTACATTATGCTTTTGATCTACATAAAAAGTTGCATCCCAAACTGAGCTTGAATGACAGAAATACTCTAATGCTTTGTCTTCTATTTTTCTAACCTATCTCTAGCTCCTCAACAATTACCTTCACCTGTTCATACTTGCCTGAATGTAGATTGTTAATTGTGTTTCTTTCTGTATGGTTCAGGTGGACAGAGGTGTTACATTGAGTGAGGCTCTACTAAGGCATGATAAATGGCTTGAGAAGAAGGGAATAAAGAACTCCAACTTTGCTGTGGTTACATGGTCTAACTGGGATTGTCAGGTGATGCTTGAATCTGAGTGCCGATTCAAGAAAATACGGAAGCCTCCTTATTTCAACCGGTAAGTGCTGCAGTGCAGAAATGATGACCTCTGTCTATCAGGAATTTTTTGCAACTGACTTTTATTTATTTGCTTCTTAATTTCTGTTAGCTGGATCAACTTAAAGATTCCTTTCAACGAGGTATTTGGTGTTATGAAGTGCAATTTACAGAAGGCTGTTGAGATTGCTGGCTTAGTTTGGCAGGGTCGTGCTCATTGTGGCCTGGATGATGCCAAAAACACTGCTCGCCTGCTGGCTCTGCTCATGCACAGGGGTTTTAAGTTTTCCATTACCAGTAGTTCCCTGCTGTGGCAGCCAGGTGATTCGTTTATGTGGAAGCAGTCTCCCGAACAACCAAGCGTTTTCCCTCACTCCCCTTACAAATCAAAGGATATGAATATCCCCATGGTTCAGTATCACCCTTACTGTTACTGTGGGGTGAAAACCAGCAGGAGCACCATCAGGAAGCCAGGACCCAAGCAAGGATGCCATTTCTTTGGATGTGGAAATTGGAGTACAGGTAGAGGTTCACGCTGCCATTACTTTGAATGGGTTTCTACCTAATCTAAAGCACCTTTTGGTCTACCATGATCAAGTTCTAAGTTTTCTTAATAAGTTATATGTAAAAAAAAAAAAAAAAAAGGAAGAGGAAATGGCTTATGAAAGTAGTGGTGTTGTCTCTAGTAGAAGCATGTATTCCCGGCTGCGTGATGAGGTTTGTTTCGTGAAGTGTTAGAGAAAATTAGTTGGCTCAATTGCTTATTACTGTGACTGCTGAACATCTAAGTAGTCTTGTTAAGGAGAGGGAACTTCAACCTGTAAAGCTCACTTGGTTGACTGGGAAACCATTGCGGAATGTGAGGATGGGTAGTTAGGATTGGTGCTTTTACATGCTAAGGCATTCTAAGTTATCTTTTAAATAATCCGTGGAATAGGACTCTTTGTTTCTTTGCTCTATTGGGAATCGCTATAATTTCTGTCGCTGATGTTAACATTCTAACTTTGACCTTGTTAACTGTGCTTGTACCAAAGCGCAGAATTTCGTGGAGGGAAGACTAGTGTAGCATATTTTTTGGTTGGGGTTTGGGGATTTACCTTAAAATTAGTAGCCACCAAAAGAAAATAATTAAGAGAACTCTTGAAATTAACTATTAGTTTTTAAATAATGTCATACGCAATAGCCGAGTTTATACACTTTTGCGCAAGGGTATTATTCTGAATTCTTTTGCAATATATTCAAGGGATTTAATGTTTCTTATATTGTAGAAGATAAAATTATTTTTTACTCACACATAAAATTGTGTGGAATTTATGTTTTCTTTTTCTCTTTTTTTTTTTTTTTTCATATGATCTTATACAATTTTATGTGTTTGTAGGAGATAATTTTATATCGAGAAACATCAAACCCATGTTCAAGTTCGAACATGGAGACAATGAATGCCCAATTTATTCTGGCCCAGTGCTTTAATAAAAAAATGGAGCTAATAAAAAAAACTCAAGTTATTCTTTGTCTTTAAACCATTTTTAATGGCTTCTGTCTAGTTAGTTTCACCAAACAACAATGTAAATATGCAACCCTATAAATTGACTTAAACGCTCTCCAAGTGAATGAAGAAGATAGTTATGAAATAAATCTAACAAATTAAAGAAGATACAAAGCTTTGGAGTACTAGGAATATCATATATGGGTCATCGGATGCCACAGGAACATTTGGTGAATTGGGATCGTGTTTGAGAGCCTGCCAAGAATGGTGGCCTTGGCATTAAGAGATTTCGTGCTTTTAACCAAGCTTTCATTCTCAAAGTGGGACATGGTATTCTGACAAAGAAGAATGATCTCTAGGCAAGAGTGCTCTGTAGTAAATATGGGGTTGGGGAAGATTTAATCCCGTCGCTCAAGAAGAAGAATGTTTCCAACCTTTGGAGGGGAGTCTTAGGGCATGTTTGGTGTGATGTATAAGGTCTGATAGTATAAGCTTATACTATACGTTATGACATTTTCAGTTGTTTGATGTGATCATCGTATAGTATAAGCTTATACAGCAGGACCTCTTTATACATCAAAATGATGTATAACTTAATCCAGCCTAGGAGTGGTGGATTAGGCCTGATAAGGGGTTGATGTATTAATATAGCTTACAAGTTACAAGTACAATTCACAATAACTAATATACCATTTCAATATTTATATATTAAAATAATTTTTTTAATATATTAATTTTTAAAATATTGAAGGATATTATCTTATACAATATCATACCAAACGCTGGATAGTATTAACATTTAATCAGGTCTTTTACAATCAGGTCTTATACTATCAGGTCTTATATTATCAGACTTTATCCTATACTATGCACCAAACATGCCCTTGAACTCCACATACAAATAGGATCTCGCGTCTTCCTTGGGGATGGTAGAACCACCCGTTTTTGGCATGATAAACGGTTTTCTAAGGATACGTCCCTGGCCAGTATGGTCTATGGCAACATATCTGATGATTTGAGTCAGGATAGAGTTGTAGACTATGTTACCTCGAATAGCAATTGGGACTGGGAGAAGTTTGTCCTTCATATCCCTGAAGAGGCTGTAAACGCTATTGCTGGAACGCTCCCCCACAGTGATATGGATGGTGATGATAAAGTGATATGGAACCTCGCAAATGATGGAGTTTTTTTTCAGTGAAATATGCTTATAATCTCTTAACCCAGAACCGTCTGCAAGAGGTCCATTGCACCTAGGGGTGCTAAACGAGCCAGCGGCTTTACAGGAGTCTTTGGCTCGACTCGTGAAGGCCTGAGCTTACATGTCTAAAATTGATTGTTGGACCCAGGCTTGGACTTGTATAAAAGCTCGTTTAATAAAGAGGCCTCAGGCTCCAATTCAAAAGCTCGGCTTTAGAGCTTCTCAGGCTTACCTAATATTTTTTTTTATTTTTTATACTACTTGTGATAGCCCTCTCTCTCTTGTTAATTCATTTCATCCCATTTTATTAATTAAACAGACTTTTTAAATGATTTTGTTTTATATTATGCTATTTGGATATACATTAAATTTATGGAATTACTAGTGTTGTTGATTGTATATTTTGTTTGGATAAATTTTTGTTGTCTTATTTTTTTTAAACAGGCTAACAGGCTAGACAAGGTTTTTATTTTTTGTAAATGAGTCAGGCCACAGGCTGATATTATATTCGTAATAGGTAAAATCTAAGGTCAGTCTGACATATTTGAACACAGACTCGACCTGTTAAGACCAAAGCTCGGCTCGACTCGTTAACACCCCTAATTGTACCAAGTGCTCCTTAACTTGGGATTGGCAAGGCCCCCGTAGAATCAAAACTTTTATCTGCTTGCTTTTAGGCAATAAATCTCTTGACCAACATGGAGCGATCTAGGTGTCATATGGCTAGCGAAGTTGCATGTCCTAGGTGCAGCTTCCCTTTCGAGGATTGTTGCCATATTTTCAGGAAATGCCCTTGGGCTAGGGAGACTTGAAGTAGGCTTGGTAAACTGGTGGATCTTCAGCAAGGCAATAATGAGAACATTCAGACTTGGCTCCACCGTAACTTGGGGGATAGTGACCAATCTAGTGGCACTCTCTTTGGTTTAACTTGTTGGTTGATGTGGTAGGCGAGAAACAAGCTAATCTTTGAGAATACCCAGTCTTCTCCGGAGAGCTTGGCTTATACGGTTTGGGCTTTCATGGAGTCCTTATCTCAGGCTGAGGCTATTTTGAGAAAGACTAGGCTTATTCCCCTGATGAAACATGAGATTCTTGTCAGGTGGCATTTCCCTACAGATGGGTGGGTGAAGGCCAATTCTGATGGAGCTTGTCACTCTAGTAGTTGCAAAATGGCTTGTGGTGGAGTTATCAAAGATAATGGGGGTAACTGGATTATTGGCTTTTCAAAAACCTGGGCAGTGGCAATTCGTTGCTAGCTGAATTATGGGGGGCCATCATTGGCTTAGAGTTGGCTTGAGACAAAGGCTTCAAGAACACTTGGCTTGATATGGACTCTGAGGTGGCGATCAACTTGATTATCTCTGGCTACGAAGATCACAAACCATTTGCTGCCTTGGTTCGAAGACTCAAAGGGATTATTAATAAACCCTGGAATGTTGTCCAAATGCATATTCATAGGGAAGGCAATTCTGTGGCAGATTGGCTTGCTTGCTAAGGATCTGATGGGAGTTTCCTTCTCAAGAATGACGCGCAGGTAGTTTGTTTTTCTTTCTTTGTATCCAAAATAAAGTAGCGGACACAGATAATTTTATTTGGGTGTGCATATTTAATCCGAATATTTAGTGGATGAGATTTGAGGCAGTGTTTTTGGAAGAAAAAAAATTAAACAAAGTTTTAAATGCATTAAAAAAATAAAAGAATATATAAAAATTTATATTTACATGAATCAAATTTTTTGTCATGTTAATAAAAAGACAAAATCAATTCATTAAATAACGTGTCATCTCACTTTCTTAACATGACAAAAAATTTCATTCATATAATATGAGAGATATAATCCTCAAACAACAAAAGAAAAGAAAATTTGAACTTAACATAAAAAAAATAGTAATCAACTTAGTGATATAAAATCACTAAAACAAAACAGTAAATAATATGTGTTTCTTTCTTTATATCTGTGTTTTATTCCTAGTAATACAGTCACTAAAATTACTCATTGAGTGACACTCATAATTAATTAAAAATATATCTCTTCTTTACTAAAAAAAATGTATGACCAAATTTATGTGTGCACTTGCACACATAGAAAACCAAATAGGTCCGCCGCTATCCAAATTCATATATATATATATATATATACAAGGTTTAGCAGATGTAAAGTGACTGCACCTAAGGATTGGTGCAGTCATATAAAACTACGTCGTTTTATAATGTAAAAGCATTAAATATGGGGAATAATAATCATACAAAGGTGGAAATAAATATAAAACATTAAATATGAGAAATCATAATCCTACAAAGTTGAAAATAAATATAATATTTTTATTGTCTACAAATAATTTTAAATGCGAACTTCCTTTATCCCACCCAAAACGACGTAGTTTTTAGGGGACTGCATCAATGCTTATATACAGTCACATTACAAATCATTTTGCCATATATATATATGGGGGGCTATATTTTCTTCAGCATAGAAGATATCAAATTTTCCAGCACACCCATGGGAAATTGTGTTGATAGTTTTCTCTTTTTTATTTTATTATATAGTGGGACCCACTTCAAAAAACATGTATCTATTGCATAAGAGATTGATTTTCCTTGTTACAGAAGATTATGATTTTCATATATATATATATATATATATATATATATATATATGCGGCTAGGTTAGCATGTGTCCTGTCCAGAAGAAAAACTGCGAGTTTAATTGCAAATGTCATAAACAATTTCTCATGCCAAAAACTTTTTAGGATTCAAGCATGAACAACACATAGGTCCACCTCACCAAGAGCAGGATTGAAGCATAGCTAATGTGAACGCCAATCAACTACATTTAGGAAAAAGAGCAACCATATGCATCTTCAAAATTTCTCCCCTTTAATGCGATGTTGATATTGGAAAATAGACAACGGGCCATTATGGAATATGAGTTTCCCAATTTTATTTGGGTGTTTGGTTGAGGAGAAATTTTTTGAATACTAGAGAAATGTAATTACTAGGGAAATGGTTGGAAAATAAGTTTGGTAGGAAAATGTAAAAAAAGTTGTTTGGTTCGGGGAAATTTATTTAAATTTGCAAAATCTATATTCGGGAGAAACTTCGCACCTATTTTTTTACTTCCCCAGTTATCTCAAAATACCACATCTCAAGTGGTATTCTGTAACAGTGAAGTTCATCTAAAAATCAACACAAAAGTCATTTCCCCATCTATCCCATTTGCCTAGTATTTTTTTGAAAAAACCTGAACCAAACGTGGTATTCTCCAATATTCACTTACACTTTCCCATCAATCCCAAAATAATCCTTCAACCAAACAGTACCTTTCGGTCAGAAAAATTGACGTATAATCATGAAAATGAAGAAGAGTTCCTGACTTAAGGAACCTAGAAACGTAATAGTTACGGGACCAGGTCACGAAGAATGATACCTCTATAATACCATGATAAATATTTTGGAAGAATGTATGTCTTTCATTGTTCAATAAGATTCTTTTGTATA